TGCAGAAGATTAGACCAAAAAAAGCCTTGGAGACAGTTTTCTTTCTCTCCTCTACTCATATTTCCACGACACACCAAAACGTCTCCTACTACAGGGGCAATTAGTCTAGCTGCCTGGATTCTGAAAGACTTGTGAGATACTATGAAATGATCGGTTGAACAAAGGGGTATGTTAGTGTAGCTCAATGATCTTGTTATTTACCTAATATACAGAACCTATACCCCCTCTTTAAGTAATTAATTTTTTCCGTTCCGTGAATTCGATCTATTTGCCAACCTCTTTCGATATGAATAATCAATTACCGTGAAAATCACAGTGCTTTCGAAAGACAGTATATGCTAGTACAAATTGCGTAATTTTATTGTGTTCATAGTATGATTGTTCGAGTGTCGCTCCTCTATTGCCGTTGGGTTTCAAGTCCCAGATTTTTTGACTTGAGCTGTGTTGTCCTCGCTTAATGACCTCAACCAGGAAAGATGTGATGATTGAATTCTCTCGAGAATACTTGATGTCTGACGGAATTCTCTACAGCTTTCTGGTGGTCCCTAAATATCTATCTTTAGCCCAGGACAAACTCCTTCCATTCCTTGCCCTCCAATTTGCACGAATAATTGAACGCCTCCTTGAAAACCTTGCCGAGTCCTACGCGGTAAGCAATGTCGTTCTTATACTCCACCAGGAGGACATAGTACAAGTCCCAGCGGGACTGCATCCTCTCTTTTGGAATGTAGTAAGACCATCCGTCATACTCAATCGGATCGAATTCTTTCGCATCTGAGATTGCAATGAACTCAAGTGGCGAGTCCAGTGAAGCGAGCGCCGACACCTTGCATCTTTCCAGCAACATCGTTCCGCACCAGTCGAACTTATGGTCTAGAATATCATACCGCTGAACACCTTGAGCATCAGGCGAATAGTCGTAGTCTAAGGTCTGCCGAATCCTGAAGAAAGCAGACCAGGTGTAAAATTGCAGATGCGGGGAATCTTTTTCTGGGTTATGTCGGATTAAAGTTCTAGATATTGTAGATGCATCTTGCTCGACGATATTCACTCCAAATGGACAGCCACTTCCTGGCAGAGTTATGTTGAACTCTGATCTTGGCAGATGGCGCTCGCCGCCCTTGATGTAACGGCCATACTGATCGAGATTGTTTTCATCCGATCTTGTAGAGCGGTCGTACCCTTTCGAGCTGTTATTGTCTTGCTGATTTGACGATGTAGCGCCCCCTCGGCTGTTCCACACAAGTCTTAAATTTCCATTGAAGTCTCGAATATACCAGGTAATCCATGTATGGTTCAATAACCAGTCATCCAAATTGTCCTCGCAGCCGGATAGCATTTGTGATTTGTACTCAATCATACTCCCCATCCAACCACACCAGGACCAACTTGGGAAAACCTCTCCTCCCTCACCCACTCGTCTTTTTGCAGAATATCGAGCCTCCCAAAGCAATGCCCAGTCGAAGTGAGATGAAGGCAGACCGTGAATCAAGTCTCCCCCGAGTGTTTGGCATACGAAGTTTCCAATTCCATAAAAAGCAGCAAGGATGTCTTTCTGAAATGTGAGGCTTCGGAGCAAATACATTTCCAGCAGTCTTTTGTAGATTAGAAGAGGCGACTCCGATAGATTTTGTAGCATCTGCATTGGGGAGCCTATAAAGTCGATCGACCAACCCGCGGCATCATCCTCCGTGATGATATCAACGGATCTAGCCGTTGACCTACACTGGAAGAATACTCGGCCATCTACAAATATTAAAGTTCTTGATGATAGCAAGCGTTCTTGAAAAGTCCATGCCCGGGTATTCCATGTAGACTGCGAAATGTACCGCTCAGCTGGCTGAGTAGACATAAGTCGTATCTCTGGACTGTACTCAGCTGTCAACTGCGGCCGGTTGGCAAAAAGTGCACATAATCCAGCGCTAGAGTCGTGTCCATCTGCTGCACAAATAGTGAAGTAGGCGTTTCCATATACCAGATCCATGACTCTAGAATTCAGGGCCCATGACCTTTCATTGTCCTGGATGATACAGAGAGAGTCAACCCACAGGTAGCGCTCTCCTAGATTCCGGACAAGCTCTATAGAGTCTCTTATCGTAAGTGGTAACATGCTGAAGATATTTGAGATTCCGCCGTGTTTTAAAAGACCCTTAATGTTGTTTTCTGTGGTCATGAACGCTCGAGAGGAGCCCCAAGTATAACTGAGGGCAATGTATCGCTTCCCAGGTGGTAGGGGACTCAGACACATGTTATCTATATCGAGGACACCGAAAAAGGACTTCCACCCCGAGAGATTGGGTACTTCTGTATGACAGGCTGAGCCATGAGAGCGGATGCAGAACTCGGTCCACCTTCTGATTCCTGCGTAATCTATGCTGTTGGAATTTTGGCTTAGCCGACCAAGAAAGAGATCCGGATATGCCTCAACTGACTGACCCAGAGTGGCATATGGATGATCTTGATTTGGCGATGCTACCAGTACAATATACGTTGTGGCAATTGTAGGTTTTGACCAGTGAAGTCGGATTCTTCGAGTGCAGGCCCGTGACTGGCTGACCATCACAGTTGAATGGCGCTTGATAGTTCTGCCGTCAACCTGCCAACTTGCATAGCAGGTAGCATCTTTTCCCAGTCAGTGGACTAATATTGAAGCAAATGATCATTCGCCCAGTTAATCATACCTTTCAAGGCTGCTAAAGTGACATCTTGATCCTCAACCGACTGAACAATCAGGTTACAAAGATTGCAGCAAACTGCTCTAGCTTTTATCGATATCCAAGTGCCGAGATTGAGGCCATTAGCGCTGAACTCCATGTCATTGTCGTTCGAGGGATATTCCATCACAGATTGGGTTGGCTCCTTGAGGAGTCGTATGTTCTGTCGATATTTTGCATACTCGTCGATTATGAACTTTTCTCTGGTAAGCCTCATCGAAGTGCACTTTGGACAAAGTGAGCCTCTTGAAGTCATTGTGCTTTCCGTGATGCGTCGGTCCTACGCATGTGCATGAATCAGCCCACTTGATCGGTACGGCGGGGGACCTTGAGAGCGACTTTTTCTTCCTTCACTTGTCTTCGGACATTCTCAATCGCCAGAATCCAGCGGTGTCTTACATGTTCAGACTATGAAAATCATCAGTATTCTGCTCACATTTTACGGGAGATCACCTACTTACCATCATCTTGCTTTCGCGGTTGCTTCTGGGGGGAGCAAAACTGGGTTCGACGGCGCTGCCATTGAGATGCGAAAGGTCCTGAATGTTTGACGGGGTCATTTCGGGACTGTTTGACTGGTAGTCTGAGTCGAACTGTAGGACTTCTAAAGGCGATCTCCGTAGATTTACTTCGCGACTGTCCAGCTCTACGCTGCTATGTGCTCCCTGCTCTTCTGGCGTCTTCAGGACCTCATCGCCCGGCTCTCGACGATAGGGGAAGATACTTTCCCAAACCCATCGAGATGCAAAATTGGCCATAAAAGCGCTTTGCTGGAAAGAGGATGTGAAGGGTTGGTTCGCAGCCCAGAAGGGTGTTTTGTTTAGCACAGCTGAAGTGAGGGGCTAGAGACATCCTGCATGAGAGCTGAAAAATAAGTAGACCTAATCCAGATAGTCCCAGCCACAACGCCTCGATAAAATATGTGGTGCCCAAATTATGTTTTCAATTCTCCGAACGAGGTTTTATTTTGAGCAGTGCAATTTTGCCGTAATTCCTAGATGGGTGTGGCCCAAACGGTGATTGATGGCTTGCCCGAGCCGATGTGAGATGAGATGTGGTTGTTGCAAGGTTACATATGGAAAGCACATTCCTCACATTGGCAGATATGGCCAGAGGAAGCTGGGAATACGGGTCAGAATTTTACTTAACCACCATTGATATGAAATCCCAACAATGCGCGTTCTGTCCTTTGCCCCTTTTTTAGCCGAGCACAGGAGCAGGTCAAGCGGATTGAATAAACAAAAACATTTCGGAAATCGAGGAGGCCATTGCAAGAGTTCGCGCCCGGTTTTGGAGCCATGTGTTCATAGCAAAAGAAGGTGACAATGGCGGCCCAGCTGCACACCGAAAGTTCTTTGCAGTGGACTCTCGTGGGAATGGGAGAAGCATACTTGATTACAGCATTAAACCTTAGATAATCGAGTACGGAAGATCGGGAGCTCTAATATAAATCAAAGTCTCACATGGTCTCACTCCGCTGGACGTATGATACAATTTAATAGCATAGAGAGATTTCATTCGGATAGCTCTGATACCACGTAAGGCAGATAGATATCTTGCCAGCAGAAGCATTTCTATAGTCCATGCATCTATAATGGTGGTTAATTTCGTGTTTCGATGTCCCTATGGCAGTAATTGACATTAGGAGATATTTTTGATGCTATTCAATTTCTAGATTTTGACGAGCTATTGGCAGTCCTCTCCCTATTGGAGACATCTACCTCCCTGAACGATGGTCTCATATCAAAAACAGTAACTGGAATATACAAGTAGTTCGAGCTCCAAACTAAACACAGCTGCGAAATAATATTCGCAAACAAAATTCGGACCAGATCAGCACTCCAAGACATTGGATTGTATTTGTAGGCTTCCTCCGCCCAGGAAAAACAAGCGGCACACCTCAAGTAAAAATGCTCACTCATTCTGCTCAAAGGGCTAGAAGGTGGATCCAGAGATAACTCATCGTTTTACTAGAACAAAAAGTCGTGAATGCTATTCAGGACACTCTGTCACCTCTACTGAGAAATTGTCAGACGGTCAAATCCTGCATCTTCAGGGCCTTGGTAGCCCGAACTTTAGGAATGTGGGGTTGTTGCCACTACCACAATTTCACTCGCGCTAGACTTTATAATTGAAGACTTTTCACGGCACTGGCAAGAACGACCCAAAACAAATCTCTGCCCAAAGGATCTAACAGAACCCAAGCTATACAGATATTTTGGCAGATACAGCAGCCAAAAAAAATTGTAAAAAAGAAGCTCCCAATGAAGAGAACCTCGGGGATAGAGCCCGAGGTGGGACTCGAACCCACGACCTTGAGGTTTTGTGATTATCTAGATATTCACTAAGAGCCACACGCTCTACCGATTGAGCTACCCGGGCAGTCCAATTTACTTTCGAATAAGACTCGAGGCTCTTAGATGAATACATAATCGAGTTAGTGATGTGGAGACATTGTTGAAAAATTTCTCGTTTGCTAGTCTGAAGAAGTCACTGGCCCCCTGGTCATTCGAGTCATACAGTACCTAGCAGCTCTCCGTTTGCAATTTTGCCAAGTCATCAAATTGTACTCTTTACTTTTTCAAAATTACTTTACATGGAAATCCATCAGCTGGGTGAACAGAAGATGCAAAAACAGGATATGCTCTTTCTCCCAAGACAGTCTTCAATCCTTTTCTCGGGTGTAGCGCATCCCATTCGTCATACGCGTTACAGATATCGAATTCTCTGAGGGTCATTACAAGGACTGTTTTCATGTCCTGCATCACCAGAGTTTGCCCGATGCAGTTTCTTGGTCCAAATTCGAAAGGTCTCCAGGCTCCTTTGACGGGATACAAAGGGTCTTCGGGATCCACTAGCCAGCGTTCAGGGATGAAAGCATCAGGATCTTTCCAGTACTTGGGATTCCTATGAAGGGCGTTGTGGAGGATCAAGATTGCTGTTCCGTCTGTTGGGTACTCGTTCCCATCGTCGCCTCGAAGGGTTGCTTCTGGTGTACCTGCCCGGATACCAGCGGCGGCAGGCCACAGTCTCATTGCTTCCTTGATGACTGCATTCGTGTAGGGCAGGGAATTGATCTTTTGCGGATGTTCTAGCAATTGTGCAGTCACGGTTGTGAGATCCGTTCCGAAAATCTCATCATGTTCAATTCGGATTCTCTCTAAGGCTTTTGGGTTCTGCGAAAGCAAGTGATACGAGTAACATAAGCTCGTTGCAGTAGAATCGTGGCCTGCGAATAAAAACAGTCGGATCTGGACGATGGCCCATTTCTTGAAATTGGGGTCCAAGGTGTCAGATCTACTTGCAACTTCATTTTCCGACATGTAGTCCTCGAGGACAAGGTCAATGATGGAGCGGGCTACCGCTTGTTTACTTCGTCGTCGCTCTGCGAATCGTTCGTCAAGTTCCCTCGAGATGTAGTCATCCATCAAGCGCCCGTTGTTCCACTGAACCAATGGCCGGATGGGGTTGAATCGCTTCAATGGGTTGAATTCGCCAGATGAAATGTGCCATCGAACCTGACTTCTCATTGCAGATGCCAGCTGTCTCTGGTCAGTACCGATTCGCAATAAGCCTCGTCGAGAGGGACATCTCCACAGGATCCGAATTTTAAAAACCAAGGCGAAACAGTTGAGTTCTTACCTGGTTGTACTGCCTCTGAGAATGAAGCCTCGTATTGAGTGCCACAGCTCCAATGATATCCATCGTGAAGTCACAGAGAAGTTCGTCAAGGGAAAATATATCGTTCTTCGCAGCATGCTCCTTCAAGATGGATACAAACTCTGTTGTCTCTTCTACAATATGATCCATTTGGCTTAGTAGATAACTGGCACTGAACCCCGGATTGAACATTGAGCGCAACTTCTTCCATTCGGGTCCGTTGCTGGTAAACATGTGATCCTTTCTTCCGGCAAAGGGCTGGTTGCGTATCAGTACTGCATTCTCCTATTATCGTCCTAGCATGCGTCTTTCAGAGTTACAGAAGGTAAGATGTTGAGAGACAAGGCGTGATATTTACTGACCTCGAAGAAACCAACAATACTTTCGGGCTTCTCCAGGTCGTATTGCTGGCAAGCCTGGATTGCCAGTGAGGGCGAGGAGATCAGAAGAACCGGCATGAGGAAGGGCCAGATATCCAGATAGTAGGCCGAATCGGAGTGGGGGAAGTCATTGGCCAGTTCTCCAAGCAGATAGTTCTGGTGTGCATCTGCTGGTAGCCGGCTGAGATAAGGGACTAGAGAGAGCAAATGGCCAGTTATTGGGTTCCATTTGGGTATGGGCTGTACCAGGTCAGCTTCCCCATCGTAAGTCTTTCAATGTCCTCGGAATGGCGGCGAACATGACATACAAGACCTCTGGGATCCTTCCTCAGTCTATATATCAGTATCCTTGATTTCCATCCTTTCACTACGACATAAACTACACCTGATATCCAGATAGCCAGAAGGGTACCTAGCAACTGCTGGAAGCTGAGAAAGAGGTCGGTCGCCATATTGTTACAGACCCAGGAATCTCAAGCTGCCCGAAACAAAAGTATAAAGCCGCGTACAAAGTTCAAGGCTTAGAATAGTCTGTTTGTGATAGCTTCAAATTGTAAAATCCTCCAGAGTGAGGCGTAGCTAGCCCATTGTGCAAGGGTAAGGTGCTGACATTTGCGATGGATCAACCCCAGCTTCCATTCGTAATATTGGCCAATGAAATTGACAAGGTACGAGCTAATTATCCAATGGGGATATCTTTGAGAAGTGGTAGATATCTTTGGCTCCTATCAAGATTCAAGCTCCACTGACCGAAGTCCGAAGGAGAAGACCTCAACTGTGCGAGGCTGCAACCGTGCCATGTCCTGGTCACACCGTAGACAAGCAAAGGTCATGAGAAGCAAACGATGTAACCGATGGTATCGATAGGTCAGTTGTGAGGCCATATCCTTCAACTTCTTGGAACCAAACAATGTTTGACTGTCTCCGTTCTGATCATCAGGAAGGAATTCCCTCGGGGTGTTTTCACTAGAGACACGCCCAAATTTAGGCGAGCAAGCCTAAATTACTACGCGTCTCCCAGCGCGTCTCCGAAGCCTCAAGGTTGTACCTAAAGTACATCCCCATTTCTATCGCCACAACAACAACCAATACGAGCAGGATGGTTGCATGTCCAATCTGCAGCAAGACTGTTAAATCGAAAGACATCAACGCCCATATCGATTCTTCCTGTGAATCATTCCTCGATACCGGCTCCTCGCCACTTACCCAGCAGCAGCCAAATGCTTCCCAGAAACCACCCGCCTCCGTCTCGAGCTTCTTCCAAACACCAGCAGCAAAACGAGCAGCTGCATATCCAACACCGAAGATAGAACCCGGCTCGGCCTTGAGCTTCCAGCCAAAGTCTCAGAGCAATGGGGCGGCAACTCCAACTCAACCCGCTCGGAAGAGGTCATTTGAGGATATTGCCCCCCAAGTGAAGGACGAGAAAGATGAGGCTCCCGTTAAAGTGGAGGAGGGGCAGCGAGCAAAGAAACCAAAGACGAATGCCTTCCAGAAAGCTGCGCCTCTCGCAGAAAGAATGCGACCTACATCTTTGGATCAAGTTTGCGGACAAGAACTCGTCGGAGAGCATGGAGTCCTCAGGAGTTTGATCGAGCAAGACCGTGTGCCCTCAATGATTCTCTGGGGAAGCGCCGGAACAGGAAAGACAACAATTGCACGCTGTATAGCTTCGATGGTGGGCAGCAGGTTCGTAGAGATCAACAGCACAAGCTCTGGGGTGGCGGATTGCAAGAAAATATTTACAGAGGCGAAGGGGGAACTAGGACTGACGGGAAGGAAGACGATCATATTCTGTGACGAGATCCATCGATTTTCGAAATCGCAACAAGACGTTTTTTTGGGGCCGGTAGAGTCTGGACAGGTTACCTTGATTGGGGCTACAACTGAGAATCCATCTTTCAAAGTTCAGAACGCGTTACTGTCACGGTGTCGGACATTTACACTTTCAAAATTGACGGACGATGATATATTTCAGATTCTGGAACGGGCTGTTTCCACAGAAGCTCAGAATTACACAGCTTCAGATTTGGTGGACTCGGAACTCCTCAAGTATCTGGCTGCTTTCTCGGATGGAGATGCTCGGACGGCACTGAACCTCCTGGAGTTGGCTATGGGATTGTCAACGCGACCATCTATTACAAAGGAAGAGATCAAGGCATCCTTGACGAAGACTCTGGTGTATGACCGGGCTGGCGATCAACATTACGATACGATATCTGCGTTCCACAAGTCAGTGCGTGGTAGCGACCCAGATGCGGCACTCTACTACTTGGCTCGCATGCTACAATCAGGAGAGGATCCCCTCTATGTTGCCCGGAGAATGGTCGTGATTGCTTCGGAGGATGTTGGCCTTGCCGACAATAGCATGTTGAGTCTAGCAACAGGAGCTTACACGGCTGCCGAGAAAATCGGAATGCCTGAGTGTAGGATTGCACTAGCTCATGTCACTGTAGCACTTTGCTTGGCCCCCAAAAGCACGAGAGCATACCGTGGTCTGAACAATGCCTACGCTGCATTACGAGAGCCCGGAGTCGCCGGTTTACCAATCCCAATACACCTCAGAAACGCCCCGACGAAGCTTATGAAAGAATTGGGTTACGGTGATGAGTACAAATATAACCCGAACTATAAAGAAGGCAAAGTCGTGCAGGAGTACCTCCCAGATCAGCTCAGGGGCCGTACGTTTTTGGAAGATCGAGATCTGGGAACAGAAGTTGATCCTGGAGCCTGGTAAGAGGTGGTAGTGTATTATTTTACATATTGTATTTTGTTGGGCATTAGCAAGGCGTTCATGTTGCCTGGGTGTGTTGGACAATTGCAGCGTTTACATAGGATAATATCCACAATGTTTTTGCTCAGTTGTTATTGAACTCATATTTTCATCCACTACAACAGTGTACAAATTATGCCGAAGCATCACGCTTCAAAGTATCATAAGTATTACCCTCCAAATCCCCCTTCTGCGTAGGCACGCCAGCCTCCAAGTCGACAACAGCATTCTGTGTCTGGAACTTCCTTTCAGCCAAACGACCCGGATCATTCTTCGACCCAATCTCCGAATTGAAGCTCGCATTATTCGCATCCCGGCTCTCAAATCCACCTTCATGCAAGTTTCTTCCCTTCGGACCACCGGTATCAAGGAATTGGCTGATCACATACGAAGGTGCTGTCTCAGCATTGCCAGTGCTCGAACCACCAGTCTCAGTCTTAGTCCCAGTCCCAGACGAGCCACTCTGCCCGCCGACAGAATCAGGGTACGAAGAAGAAGAAGACGAAGCGCCCAATTTCTTCTCCTCTGCCCAATCTTCCTTGGCTAGGCGTGCTTCGGCATCGAGGGCT